ACACACACACACAGAGAGAGAGAGAGAGAGAGAGAGAGAGAGAGAGAGAGAGAGAGAGAGAGAGAGAGAGAGAGAGAGAGAGAGAGAGAGAGAGGGGTACCACTTAATTCTCAACACGGGTGATATACCCATAGCTACGATCCGGACACCCAGACAGGGATCTCGACTGTCCGGAGTCCGGTGTCCAGTCCAGGTTTCCGGATCCTGGTCTGGATGGTGGGGAAATGGGGGGTAGCCCAATTTTTTTCCAGGCGGCCAAGGTCGTTTTCTTCCAATATGGGCCACCGTGGAAAAATACTTGGCCATTTTTGTAGTGTTGTGCGTGGCATGCAGACAGGGCCGGACGGAGGCTCTGCAATGACTTGCTGATTTTGACTGCTGAGATCTGACTGCGAGGCTGCACAGTAACAGCGGTAGGGTTAGATTCGTAATTTTGTTTGTATCGGGGGCTTGGTTGGTCTATTAATCGATCTAGGTCGCGAGGGTTAGGACTTTTGGCTGTTTCCATCTTTCGCGTAACAGCATTCTGAGCCAAGCAAGTACAGTGGAGACGATTGCCTACAGGCGGCATCCTGAGACCCTCGTCGTTGACTGCAGCCATAACCAGCCTTCTGGAGCTCGCCATAGCTGGGGCGTCCTCTGAGCATCCACCCCTGGGGGTGCTTGCGAGCGGCTGGGCTATTCTGAGGCTCTACATGGTATTAGTGGGTGGACCACTGTTGCTGCATCTTCCTCGGAGATCGTGTGTGGCATCTACAGTGGCGCTGCAGCCATAGCTGCAGCTTTCTTCGTCGGAGTTGTTCATTGGCACTGAGGATTACATCGCAGTTCCTGTTCTTCATCTGGGTGGTTGGCGCAGGCCTCTGGGAGACTGATGTGGTGTGGCGCTACTAACTGGGTGTTGTATAGGGAGTGGAGTGTGTGGTTCTGTGAGTGGCGAGACACTGGGACAAACTCTGTAACGATATTGGTTCAGATCGGCTCAATCTCAGATTGTTCCTTTGTTATCCTCACGGGTGTCTACTTGTGATTGGTTGTTGGGAGTACTGTCAGAGAGTGGGAAGAATTTCATGTTATCTCCACACCTGTGCATAGTGCTTTTCCGCTGCTTACTCTGTTTGTGTGCAGTGTGTACTCTGTCTCCTCTCCCCTTCTTCTTATGCATGTATGGGCGTGCGTGAGATTGTCTGTGTGTGAGTGTTGGTGAAAATCGACAGACAACCAAGTTCATAACAGGCACTAAGTTTTATTTTCCTGCCCTGCTCTCGTTTCAAAGCAAACCAACTCCGATACCAACTGTTATGAACTTGGTTGTCTGACGATTTTCACCGCCACTCACACACAGACAATCTCATACACACCCATACATGCATAAGACGAAGGGGAGAGGAGACAGAGTCCAAACTGTACACAGATCAAAATAGGCAGTGGAATACAACCAGGCACAGATGGGAAAAAGACACAGTGTTTCTCACTCTCTGACGAAACTCCCAACAACCAATCACAAGAAGACACCTGCGAGGATAACAATAGGATTCACACTGATGATGGGCCAACTCAAACCAATTATCGTTACAGAGTTTGTTCCAGTATCTCGCCACCCTCAGCGCTCCACACACCACTCTCTAGCCTACACCCAGTTAGTAGCGCAACCCTGAAATGGCCTCCCAGAGACCAGCGTCAACCGCCCAGATGGAGAACAGGAGCTGCGATGAAGCCTTCAGCGCCGCTGAACAACTCTGACGAAGAAGCTGGCAGCTATGGCTGCCACACCACTGATAGAGCCCTGGTAACTCCGGAGGAGAGCTGGCCGACAGTGGTCCACCCACGAATACTCAATGAAGAGCCTTAGTATAGCCCAGCCAAACGTAGATACCCTCAAGGGTAGATGCTCCGAGGATGCCCCAGCTTTGGCAACCTCCAGAAGGCTGGCTATGACTGCCGTCCACGGAGAGAGTCTCAGGATGCCGCCTGTAGACAATCACCACCACCAACTTGCTTGAATCCAAACGCTGCGTCCCCAAAATGAACAGCCCAAAAGTCCCTAAACTACGGGCTCAGTCCTATTAATAGACTGACCTCCTCTAGACCTAGACCTACTGGGACCGGTATCGTTTCAGTTTGGCCTGTTCGGCCTGGACCTTATCCGGCTATACGGTGTGAGACCGTCGCTACAGCCCAAGGCCCGCTGGGCCTGCTGTCCTAGTGATAGCTTGGTACTGCTAGAAGCTGTGAGGGTACTAGAGGAAATTCGGGGTACTACTGGAAATGTAATTTTCCAGATTTACAGATCTGTCCCTCCTGGGTTTCCCTCAGACTGAACTCACGGTAAGTCCCTGACACAAACAACATTACGAATCTGACCCTAAGACACGACTATACAACCACGCAGTCAGACCTCGGCAGCAGAAATCAGCAAGTCATTGCAGTGGTGTGGCAAGTCCCTATGTCAAACTCTCTGTGGCAGATTTTTGTGATTGGAACTCGTTGCCTGCAATCCCCAGAAGGCCTGAAAGAGACCGGCGTTGTTGTTGGTGGTGATCATAGCCGCGTACCCCTTCAGTGCATGCCATATGCTTTCAGGCTGCTAAAGCAAAATGCATGAAGCGTAAAATACGCCGCAGAATCAATGCTCGGACGATTGATTCTTACTCTACCATGTTGCAGACCTAAACGGCTGTCTTTGAGCTGCTGATGCCGGACTGCTCATTTTTTACTCCTTCAGTACATGCCATATTCAACCCTGGAGCAAGATCCCGCTTGCTC